TAATGCTAAGAAGAAGAAGAAGACGAATAAGAAGAAGACGACGAAGAAGAAGAAAAAGAAGAATGAGACGAATAATAATAAGAAGAATAATACTACTACGAATACGAATAATTATAATCTAAAGAAGAAGACAAAGCAGAATAATACTAACCATAATAAGAATACGAATACTAATAAGAAGAAGAGGAGGAGGAGGAAGCGAGCTGGAAGAGGAGGGGGAGTAGGAGGAGGAAGAGGAGGACGATAATCAAGAGGAGGAGGAGGAGGAGGCGGAGGAGGAGAGCTGGAGGACGAGGAGGAGGACGGGAAGGAGGAGGAGGAGGAGGAGGACGGAAGGAGGAGGAGGGGAGGGGGGGGGGGGAGGAGGTGTAGAGCTGGAGAAGGAGGAGAAGAGATGGAGGAAAAGGGGATGAGAGCTGGAGGAGGAGGATGAGGAGGAGAGCTGGAGGAGGACGAGGAGGAGTAGGAGAGCTTGAGGAGGGAGGCGGAGGAGGAGGAGGAGGAGAGGAGGAGGAGGAGAGCTGGAGGCGGAGGAGGCGGGGTGGAGGAGGAGGAGGAGGAAGAGGAGGAGGAGGAGGACGAGGAGGAGGAGGAGGAGGAGGAGGAGGAGGAGAGGGGACTGGAGGAGGAGGAGGAGGAGGAGAGGAGGAGCTGGAGGAGGGGAGGAGGAGGAGGAGGAGGACAGGAGGAGGAGGAGGAGGAGGAGGAGGAGGAGGAGGAGGAGGAGGGCGAGAGGGAGGAGGAGGAGGAGGAGGAGGCGGAGGAGGAGGAGGACATGGGGGGGGGAAGAGGAGGAGAGCTGGAGGAGGAGGAGGAGAGGAGGAGGAGGAGGAGGAGGAGGAGGAGGAGGAGGAGGAGAGGGAGGAGGAGGAGGAGGAGGAGGAGGAGGAGGAGGAGGAAGAGGATGCCTTGCTTTCGCTAGGAGGCCACATGCGAACCCTACCACCTCCCGAGCGAAGTGAGCCCCACCTCCCCCCTTCGAATTCGTCGGGTGGTGGGGTAGGGTTCGCATGTGGCCTCCCATTCGCCCCTCGTCCGCCGCCCTCCTATTAGAAGCAGCGCCCAGCCGCGGTGGCCGCCGCGGCGAGGTTCACCTTCCTCACGGGCAGCCACGACCGGTCGCTGCTGCTGTGGGAGCCGCGCCCGCCTCCGGGGGGGGGGAGAGACGAAGCCGCAGACCTCCGACGGGCAAGAAGAATCAAGGCGGGGAGGGGTCTTTCGTCATGGTGATCGTGTTCTCATTCCTTGTTTTGCAGATCGGCGCGGACCCCCGCCCCCCCATCCACAAGCCTGGAGTAGATCTAGTCTGTTTTTGGCGCCTGTTTCGAGCAGGTGCAGTCTCCCCCATAGGACAAATGACCTCCAGAGGCTGTGGATCCTCAATGCGGGGACATCCAGAGCCATCCCGAGGAGGAGAAGGACGACGACGAGTAAGAGGAGTGAGGAGGAGGAGGAGGAGGAGGGAACTGGGAGGAGGGGGAGGGAGGAAGAAAGGACGGAGGGAGGAGGGAGGAGAAGGAGCACGGATTATGTTGGATGGTGAAGTTGGTGATGGTTCCCGTGGAAGGGGCAAGGTTGACCTCGCATGGGAGCACCCTATCAGAGCCCCTGTCGTTTGGTGGCAACCCTCCCACAATTGGGGCCATCTGCCATTGGCCGTCCGAGCTCGGGCATCGTTTCGAGGCAAGGGGCCCCGACCTGGTTGGTCTGTTTGCTACACTTCTCGCAGGAAGCGCAGCACCTGCAAAATACCAGAGGGGGTCGAAACGCTTCATGGTGTCCCAGCAGTGCTGCCTTTCGAGTGCGACCCTGGCAGTCGTCGGCGGGTCCATCAGATTATGTGCTCGTCGGCGCGCTTAGAGTTGGAGCGGGAGGAGGAGGCGGCATCAGAGAAGTAGAACATATTGCGTCAGTGGCCGTACTTGGGGAGATATTAGTCATGCTACTCCGCCCTAAGTATGCAAAAGTTTTCGCTTCGCGGAACGTTCGCGGTCATCAATTGCGAACAATTCGCCGTTAGTAGTCTATGGCGGCTAGTCTCACAGCCATCTCGATGGCATCTATGTCAAATTGTGATGATTTCGCTTATCAGCTGAGTTGCTGCTGAAACGGGTACTCGAACAGGTGGGTCCCTTTCAGCATGCTCGTTATAGACCAGGCGCTCGCCTGGCTCCAGCCCTGGAGCAAAACAGAGCACGCCTTCTCATATGATGCAGACGAGCGCGCGCACAGGCATCCAGGGTGTGATCTGGGTTTTTCCGGATCATGTGGGTGCCTGCGGCAGGTCCCGCCATTGTGCCCCATTTCGATCCGGCCGTTCCGATTCGACACCGATTCTTGGAAAGCCCGGTCCGATTCGATTCCATATTCCCACGATCCGATGCCGCCCTATGCGCGCGCGTGTCGTCGCGGCCGATCTCGTTCGATTTCGACCCCGCGCCGACGCGGCCCGATCCGACGCGCGTCTCGACTCGGTCCGATTTCTCGATCTGGTGGCGATTGATATGTCCATGCGTCCGCGCTTTTCCCACACCCGCACCCCTCACGTTTCCTCCGTGCGCCTTCCCCCGTCGCTCGCTCGCCCTCCTCGTGGAGCTCAGCACCTGCCCATGCTGGCGTTCCGCCGCACGCCCTCTCCTTCGCATTCCCCTCCCCCCCTCTGCCCCCCCGGCCCCCCCGCTCTCTTCATCCTCGCTCCGCCGCCCTCGTCCCTCCCTGCCCCCTCCACCCCGCGGATGCGGTCGCGTCGGGCCAGGCAGCCCGCGCGGCCGAAGCGGGCCGGGCGTGACACCTCCGGGCCCGTGCCCTCGAGCCACGGCACGCTGGGGTCGCTCCCCCGTTCTCCCTGCAGGCTGCACGGGCCGCCCCCCCCCCTCCACAGCGGAAGTTTGCGCCTCCACCGCCTGCGGGGGACGTCAGTTGACCACCTCCCGCAACTCCTGCGCACCCGCCACCCACGTTCGCGGGGTTGGGGGATGTCAGGAGGGGAAAACACACACAGACACAATGAATCGTCGACTCCCACGAAAGTATGGGAACATATGGGGAAGTGGGGGGGAAGACGAAAACCCAGAAAATATAGGAAAATATTGGGAATCCTGCTATTTGTGTGTATTTATTTGTGTGTCCCAGGGCCCCTTCAGGATGGGGGGGGGCAGGGGAGGGAGGCGACGGCCCCTCCGCCCCTCCGCAGCGAGGACACCCGCGTGGGTGGCGCCGGCGCGGCGGTGGCCAGGTGGCGCCAGCAGGAGATCGCCGGCGCGGCGGGAGCGGCTGGGCATTCGGGGCTCAAGAGACGGGGGTCATGGCTGACCCGGGTCAGCGAGCCGCTCGTGGCCGCGAGGCGGCCGCCTATATTGGTTGACCCAGGTTTGCGAAGATCTGCGTTGCAGTTTTGGTGTTTTTGCATTGCAGTTTGTTGGTTTCATGCAGACCCGGGTCGGGATTGACCCGGGTCAGAGGATCCCCGAGGAATGGCTGGCAAGGCCGCTCGAGGGGCAGGCAGCAGCCCCCGGGGGTTCGCAGGGGGAGCCCGGGCCTCCGCAGCCTCAGGGCGGCAGCCGCAGGAGGAGTGCGGGCCTTGTGGTGCTCCAGCCTACTTCCAGCCGGAAGCACCGGGAAGAACTGCGAGCACCGAGAACGTGCCGAGGCTGGAGGGTTTTCACGCGTCGGGGTCTGGGAGGCGATACCCGTTCGACGCCGTTTGAATACTTTTCAGGGTGCTCGAGATTGTTTCTGGCTGGGAGTTGGTCCTGAAAGGTGCGATGGTGCAGCATGATGCGAGCCCCCGCGGCAGCACAGACCTGTGCAATGAACCTAGGGCGGAGGAGCACGGGCACCCGCACCTCGCCGGGGCGGGGTGGGTCGCGGGGAAGGAGGGGGAGGGCCAGCTGCACTAAGTCGGGCACGTCCTCCCTCTGCAAGCGGAAGGTTCCAAAATAGTCAAACTATAGTCAGGGGACGATGTTCCATTATTCTACTAAAATGTTTGAGAATGTTTCTACTATTTCTGAATATGCTTCCTAAGCCCGCCTGTAGGAGGACATGCCCTACCTGAAGCTACACGTAAGAGCGACCCTTCGCAGGAGTGGCTTTTGGGTACGGGTCCACCGATGGCGGAGTGTAACGCGACAGCAGCGGCTGGAGCGCTTGGGTTTGGCTCCCCAGCGACCCCCCTGAAGCCGTGCGCCAATGGCAAATACTTCTCGTCTGGGGTCACTCTTGCGTGTAGCCGAGAGGGGCAGGCTGCACGAAATAGTGGCTGTGGAGACGGAGAGGGAAGAGGGAGGGGCTGACGAGGAGGTAGACCCCGGCCTCCGAGATCTTGGCATCGTTCGGACGTGTGCAGTCTTTTTTTGCGGCGAGGACCATCGAGGAGCACCCTGGGTCATCTTGGAAAAAGTAAGCGCGCGAAGCCGACAAATGCACGCGCAATGGACGTCCGAACGATGGCAAAGATGGGGTCCGAGTAGATGGGGCTCGGAGGATTGTGCCGCGTCGCTGGGGCATCGGCGACGCGGCACGATCCAGAGAGTGAGGTGCTCTCCGTCTCGCCGTCACCAGGCTGCGTGATCTTTTGACCCCATCTGCTCTGGTCGGCGGCGAGCGACGGGGGGGGGAATGAGAAGGAGAAAGCCTTCTCAGAAGGCGGCGGGGCTTCTCAGAAGGACTCCGGCCTTCCAAGAGGGCTTTTGTGTCTTCGGGGAAGGCTGAGAAAATTCTAGACGCTTCGCGTAACCCCACCAGCCTGGTCTGCAAGTTGCATCAGCTTCCCTGGGCGTTGCAGACCAGCCATCCAGTTCCACCAGCAGCAGCTGCACCTCAGCCGCCGCTTCTGAGTGCTGGCCCGGCCGGCTTGCGTGTCGCTCAGTAGCTAATCAGGCTGGCCCGTGCCCCGGACCCCCTCTCGCCGCCTGCACTTTCGCTTGCGGCTGCGACCAAAAAAGTAACCCCACCAGCCCATCCAGAAACGATGCCCAGAGGAATTGCCTCGATCAGGGAAGTGGGCAGCATACAGAGGAAGGGTCCCCCAGTGGAGGCCTCTTGGAGCGTCTTGGGTGCCTCGGAGAGCGTCTCTTGGGAGCATTTTGGAGGCCTCTTGGGCGCCTGTGAGGGCCTCCTGGGCGCCTCTTGGGGCCCTCTGGAGGCGCTCTTGGGAGCCTTGGGAGCGCTCTTGGGGCCATCCTGGAGAACATCGATTAAACAAGCAGCGAGCATCAGTTAGCGTTGCCCCTCGGGAGCCCAACAAATCGCCTCTTGGGGCGCTCTTGGAGCGCTCTTGGGGCCGTCTTGGGGCTCTCTTGAGCCTCTCTTTGAACACTCTTGGGCCATCTTGGAGCCATTTTGAGGCCTCGGATGGCCATCGGAAGCGAAAAGGCGAGTACGCCAAACACATAGACGTTCCTAAGGTTTTGACCTATTCGGGGCCTCCTGGGGGAGCTCTTTGGCCACATGGAGCCGTCTTGGAGCGGTCTTGGGGCATCTTGGAGCATCGTGGGAGCCATTGTGAGACATATTGGGATGTCTTGAGCCATCTTGGAGGTCATCTTGGGCTCTCCCAGGCGCTCCTGGAGTCATCTTAATCAGTGCCCCCACCCCAAGAGGCCAACATGTGGCTAAAACCTTAGTACAATCAATGATTTGGCATTCTCGCCGAGGCCTCTTGGAGCATCTTGGGTGCCTCTGGGGGGTTCTTGGGGCCTCTTGGAGGTCTCTTGGGAGCCTCTTAGGGGGCATCCTGGAGGCCTCTTGGGGATTATTGGCCACCTCTTGGGGCCCTCTTGGGGCACACTTGGGAGCCTTTGGGGCCATCCTTGGGCCATCTTGGGTCAGATCGATAACAGGAGGGGGGTCCCTAATTAGGGTCCCCCCCTTAGGAGGCCAAAATGGGGCCAAGACCTTAGTAAAACCAGCGATTTGGGCTTCCTCGCCGAGGCCGTTTTGGACGCCCTGAAACCTCGCGAACCCCCCGTGGAGGGGGTAGGGGGATGGGTCAAGAGTCCCCCTCCTCGCCCGCAAGCCGTCTCGCTCACTCCCGCCCGCCCTCCCAAACACATACGTAGCACCCGAGCCTGGCCCGAACAGCAGCATATGCAGCAGTCGTTGTTGGATGGCCTGCTACTGGGGGCCGATCCGCCGCCGCCGCCGCCTCCGCCGCTGCCGCCGCCCGCCGCCGCCGCCAGCGCCCCGCCGCCGCCGCCGCCGCTGTCCGCCGCTGCCGCCGCCACCGCGCTGCCCGCCGCCGCCGCCGCCCCCTCTGCCAAATCGCCGCCGCCGCAGCCGCTGCCGCCGCTGTCGCTGCCGCACCGCCGCCGCGCCACCGCCGCGCCCGCCGCCGCCCCCGCTCCCGCCGCCGCCGCCGCCCCCGCCGCCGCCGCCGCCGCAGCCGCCGCAGCCGCTGCCCCCGCCGCAGCCGCCGCCGCTGCCAAGTGTACTATTTATTTGTATGTTGACAGGGATGGTGGGGGGAGGCCGCACCGGGTTCGCTGCACATGCTCCGAATTGGGAGACAGAGGGTGTTTTGCATTTTTTCAAGGGTGGTGGGGGCAGAGTGTGGTTTGTATTGTTTTTTACCTGGGATGGTTGGGGGGCCCGCATGGACCTGGGTTGGCTCCCAGTCGCCTGGGGAAGGGGGTGTATATTGATAGGGAACAGTGATAAAGCCCTCTCCGAAGGGGAAGAAGGAGGTTGGAAAAGGAAGCTCTTTAAACCACCTACGCCCAGAGGGCTGGTGGCCTCTTCGGCCCTCTTGGAGGCCTCCTGGGGCCTCCTAGGCGCCTCTTTGGCCCTCTGGAGGCGGTCTTGGAAGCCTTGGGAGCGCTCTTGGGGCCATCTTGGAGGAGATCGATCAGCAAACGATGGGAGCTCCAATTACGACCCCCCTCGGGAGCCCCCCCAAAAAATCCTCTTGGGCTCCTCTTGGGGCGCTCTTCGAGCGCTCTTGGGGACGTTTTGGGGCTCTCTTGGGCGTCTCTTGCGGCCCTCATGGGCCCTCTTGGAACTGTTTGAGGCCTCGGAAGGAAATTGGAAGCGACAGCGCGAGAAGGCAAATGTCATTGATTGTCCTTGAGATGTTAGAGGATGTTGGCCTGTTGGCGGCCTCCTGGGAAGGCTCCGTGGCCACTCAGAGCCGTCTTGGAGTGGTCTTGTGGCCTCTTGAAGCATCTTGGGAGCCATATTGAGCCACCTTGGGCTATCATGAACCATCTTGGAAGTCATCTTGGGCTCTCTGAGGCCCTCCTAGAGCCATCTGGGGCCATCCTGGACACTCCTCCAACGACCCGCGACCCCACCCCTCCAGGTCCAAGGGAGGGGGTAAGGCGGGGGTTGGGAGGAGCCTCCCTAGACCACCTACGCCCAGAGGGCTGGTGGGACTTCCCAGAAGGCCGGGAGACTTTTGAGCCTTCTGAGAAGGCCCGCCCCTTGTCATTTCCCCCCCTCGCTCGCCGCCGATCTGGCCTCAGCGAGGCCTCCGGTGGAGGAGGTGGAGGAGGGGGAGCGGGATCGAGGTCTCTGGACGTGTGTCGCCGAGGATTGGCCTCTTGAGGTCTCGGGAGCATCAAGGCGTTGGTCGTTGTTCGCTGGTGATGGGTTTCCGCAGACCCCGCCCCTTGCCTGCTACGACGCCAAAGGGGCTGCGGAAAACAGGAGGTGCTCTCCGTCCCCCTGCCCCTCGCGCCCCCCCCCAGGCCCCAGCTCTCCCATGGGAGGAGAAGCGGCTGGGAGAGGAGAAGGGTCGGAAGGCGCGCCTGATCAAGGGGAGCACGCATGGAGGAGCAGGTGGAAGAGACGCATCATGATCAGGAGAATCACAATAGTAATGAGAAATATGAGGACACCCGCAACTGCGAGCGCGGGGCGGGTCGCGGGCTGGTCGCGGGTTGGTCGCGGGTGGGTCGCGGGGTGGGTCGCGAGGGGGTCGCGGGGGTGACGACGATATTGACAGCAACAGCAATCATTTCAAGATCGTTCGCTCTCATATCGCGAGTCAGCCAACTTGTACATCCCAAGCCCTCGATACCAGCCCTCTTCGTCTTCGATCGTACCCCCTTTGGAGGTATAACCTCATTGCATCGCACTTGTAGTTGGCGCAGCCACTAGAACAGGAAGAGAGCAGGGCGACAGAAAAAAGGGAGGGGGAGAGAGAGAGAGAGAGAGAGAGAGAGCGGGAGGAGGGAAATTAGTGCAGGAAGAAAGGGAGGGGGGAAGTGAAGGGACAAGGGGGAGGGAGAAGGATGGGGCGAGAGATGGACTCGCAGAAGGGGCGGTATAAACAGAACGACAAGCGGACAAACAACAAACAAGCAGAATCCTGCCACGGAAGCCGACGTCGCCCACGCACCCAGGGGTGCTGCAAGACCGCTCAGCCCCCTCACTCTGATCCGGCGGCATGCGGCATGCCTCGCCACTGCGCCGGCGCAGCAGCGCAGCGCGGAGGAGATATTGAGCTCAAGATCCCCAGCAGTTGGGCGCGCATGATGAGGAGGAGGAGGAGGAGGAGAAGGAAGAAGGAGGAGAGGAGGAGGAGGAGGAGGAGGAGGAGGGGGAGGAGGAGCAGGAGGAGGCGGAGGAGGAGGAGGAGGCGGAGGAGGCGGAGGAGGCGGAGGGGAGGCGGAGGAGGAGGAGGAGGAGGGAGGAGGAGGAGGAGGAGGAGGCGGCGGAGGAGGAGGAGGAGGAGGAGCTCGAGTGGGCCTTCAACCCGACCTCCCCTCGAGGCGTCCAGGGCCTCCGAAGGGGCCGGCGGGGGCCTCTTGGGGGGCCCTCCTGGGCCGCCGTGTGGCTCCTGTGGCCCTTCGGAGACCGTCTCTCGGGCCGCCCTTCGGAGGTCTCTCGGGCCGTCTTGGAGCCCTCTTAGGCCAAAGCCGCTGGAGCAGCCTTGGTCTTTCTTCTGGAGCCCGCAAGGCGGGAACGCCAGAACCGCTGAAAACACGTAGAGGATCGATGGCTTCGGCTTCATCGGGCCCTCCTGGAGGGCCTCTTGGAGCCCTCTTTGACCCATCTAGCGCCGTCGGAGGCTGTCTGGGGCTGGAGGGCAATCGGGAGGAGCACTGAATATTGGCAGGAGCGGTTTCGCCCGGCCTGCTCGGCATTTCCTGCCCAGGATTGGGTGACTTGCGTCGAGTTCCACCCCACGGACCAGGACGCGCCCGCCTCCTTGGGGTGAGCGAGGAGGAGGAAGAGGAGGAGGAGGAGGAGGAAAAGGAGGAGGACATGACATGAAAACTTCGGGGGGCAGACACAAAACAAGCCAGCGTGGGTGTACCAGGATGAATCCCCAATCCAGGAGGGGCGGAATCCCAGGACATTCCCAAGCCTGGAGGAGGAGGAGGAGGAGGAGGAGGAGGAGGAGGGAGTCGTATGTTCGTCTTCTTTTGGCCGACCCAACTTACCCTGACCCAATTTGGGCGGCCTCCAGGGAGGCAGGGAGGGGGAGGGTGGGAGAGGGGACAGGGGCGACAGAAGAAGAGGGACGGGGGACGAGCGACGAGGGAGGCGAGAGGAGGAGATAGAGGGAGGAGTGGAGATAGGAGTAGTTCGATTCGCCCCCCTCGTCCATCCGATCTTTTTCCCCCTCTGTTCGGCTTTGCTTGCGCTCATCGTTGAGCCGCGGAGCCAACGAGTAGAAGGAGGACGACGACGAGGGGGAGGAGGAGAGAGGAGAGAGGATAAGTAAAGAGAGGAGGAGGAAGAGGAGGAGGAGGAGGAGGACCAGTGTAAGCCCAAGAGTCCAACTCGATGTTGGAATAAACCTTCCCTCCAAGCTCCCTCTTCACAGGCCCCTACAACGGTTTTAATACCTTGCAGCATGCCAAAACAGTGGTCTCGAGATTCCATCGCCACGGATCAACTTGACTGTTGGGACGTGACGATCCTGAATCGTGCCAGAACGCCATCCCCTGGACTTTAACACCTCGAATCAACGTAACTGTTGCACCCTCAGAAGAAGAGGAGGAGGAGTAGGAGAAGGGGAGGGGAGAGGGCGAGGGAGAGGGAGAGGGAGAGGGAGGGAGAGTGAGAGGGAGAGGGAGAGGGCGAGGGAGACGGAGAGAGAGAGGGAGAGGGAGAGGGAGAGGGAGAGGGATAGGGAGAGGAAGAGGAGGAGGGAGAGGGAGAGGAAGAGGAAGATGGAGAGGCAGAGGGCGAGGGCGAGGGCGAGGGCGAGGGCGCGGGCGAGGGCGAGGGAGAGGGAGAGGGAAAGGGAGAGGGAAAGGGGGAGGGAGAGGTAGTGGGAGAGGGAGAGGGAGAGGGAGAGGCAGAGGGAGTGGGAGAGGGAGAGGGAGAGGGACAGGGAGAGGGAGCGAGAGGGAGAGGATTGGGTGCAGGATCCTGTAGGATCTTGTGGATCCTGTAGGGCCTGCCTGACCGGGTCCGGATTGACCCGGGTCACCGAGGGAGGAAACTCCAACCCGACCCCCATTATTGGCGTTTGTTGAACAGCCCCGGGCGTTCACTGAACAGCCCTGCCCTCTGTTCGATCCCTTCCTGCGCTGCGTTCACTGCTGGGCCTCGTCTGCCGGGGTGCGTCTTTAAGGGGGTGGCCATGATCAGTATCGTTTCACCGCCCCCTGTCCCCATCCCCACCCCCATGCAGTCCGGGCTCCGGACCCACTCCGTCTCAGCACCCCAGTTGGGAACAGACTCTCGAAACCCGAAGGAAACAGCATATATGATCCATGGTCCGGCTTCCCCCCCGCATGCCGATGCCATCGCGCCCCCACCCCCTACCCTGCGCCATGGCCTCAACCCCATGGGCGTGGCGTGGTGATTCTTCCCCTGGGTGTCGCCGTCGTCGTCGTCGTCGTCGTCTCCGTCGTCGTCGTCGTCGTCGTCGTCGTCGTCGTCGTCGTCGTCGTCGTCGTCGTCGTCGTCGTCGTCGTCGTCGTCTCCGTCGTCGTCGTCGTCGTCGCCGTCGCCGCCGTCGTCGTCGTCGTCGTTGTCGCCGTCGTCGTCGTCGTCGTCGTTGTCGCCGCCGCCGTCGTCGTCGTTGTCGTCGTCGCCGTCGTCGTCGTCCCCCCATCCCATCTGGGAGGGAGGGGGGTTGGGACCCGAGGGACCCTTAGACCCATCCCATCTGGGTGGGAGGGGGAGCCCGTGGGCCCCAAGGCACAGATCACCCCCCAAATGCATATGTGATCAAGCCCACCCCCGCTGGATGAGTACGCCCGTGAGCCTCGCGAATGGGATCGCTTCCCCCCTCCCCCACTTGTGGTCGTGGCCCTGTGGGCGTGGCGTGGTGGAGAGTGCTGGTGCACCCCCCCCTTCCCCTGTGGATGTGAAGTGGCTCGGAGTTGTGGACGTCGGCGTCGGCGTCGTGGACGTCGGCGTCAGCATCTTTGTCGGCGTCGTCGTCGTCGCCATTGTCGTCCCCACCCCCATCCAATCTGGGAGGGGTTTGTGGGGGGGGACCCGAGGGACCCTGAGACCGATCCCATCTGGGGAGGGGCGTGGGTCGGGAGCCAGGGATCACATATCCCCATCCAGGGGGGTTAAATCGGCCAGTGGGGCCCAGGCCACCCCCATGGGGATAGGGGTCGGTGAAACGATGCTCGCAGGAGGAGGAGGAGGAGGAGGAGGAGGAGGAGGAGCAGGAGCAGGAGGAGGAGGAGGAGAGGAAGGAGGAGGAGGCGGCGGAGGAGGAGGCCCTCGGGATTCTGGCCTCCAGAAGCCCGTTGCAGGAGAATCTCGGCCGGTAGCGGCGAGGAGGGCGACGTGTGCGAAGGGCCTGGGCCTCCGCGGCCGCTCACTCTGCCCGCGGAGGACGTGCTCCTCAGCTCCGACAAGGCCGTGCGGCAGTGGGACTTCCGCCGGCCTGGCAGCGGCGCGCCCGCGCCCCGCCGGCGGCAGTGCCCCGCCCCCTCGCAGTTCGGGACGGTCGAAGTGGGCACGGAAAGGATGGGCACAAAGACCGACCACTTCAGCAGTGCCGGGGAAAGGTAAGACGCGAGCAAGCCGGAACAAGCCGGAAGTCGGGTGTGCCGGCTTTCTTTTTGACGAGCGCGTCCAAGACTTTGACGGTCCCGTTTCGTGGGATGGCTGCAGCGGGAGCCCGCGTCACATTCAGATTGGGTTTCGTCATTTTTATGATGGCCCCCGTCAGGCCAACCCGAGTCCCCCGTACCCGAGTGTTACGTCTCCCCGACAGTTTTCTGCTCATTCTGAACCGGACTCGCTCTCGGTGTCGCCGCGGACGGTGTTCACGCGAGACAGAAGGCCGCCTGCCCAACGGTGGCCGCTGTCGGTTTTGGACAACTCTTGCTGTTGGCCATGGCATTCATTTTTGTCCGTACCCATTTCTCAGAGCGTGAATTACCTACCCCGCTTTCGCTTCCAGGCAAAACCAAGCCATACCACGCGCCTCCTCGTCAAGCGGCCTGACCAGTACAGGCTGCAATTTGGCATCGTTTGGTATTTCTTGGAAGCGAGGGTGGTCAAAAGCGAGGGAGGTTTGTTTTCCCCCTAATTTCGGGCATCCAAGGAAGATAGGGTCTGGAGGGATGGTGACGCAATTGGACCAGGTGCCTCAAACAACGGACGTCCAGCCTCGGATCCCTTCCTATCCTTGGGACTCCCAACCTCCTCGGGATGAGCCACCGACCCTCCCGCCCAGGCCGGCCACGTCATGCTGTGTACAGTCCACGCGCATCTTGCCCCAGTGGGCCATCCTAGGCAACATTCGCTGGCCCGCCCCGTGCGGAAAGCGTCAGCTTTCAGGAGGGAAAAACCACACAGACACCATGAATCGTCGATTCCCCAGAAAATATGGGAAACGATGGGAAGTGGGGGGGAAGACAAAAACCCAGAAAACGTGGGAAAATATGGGGAATATGTTTATGTGTGTGTGTTTATTTGTGCGTCCTAGGGCCCGTTCAAGCTTGGCCTTCGGAGGCCCCTGCTCCCTTGCCCTGCATCCTGGCTCTGCGCTCTGACAGTATTCGACCTCCTGGTAGAGCTGCTGCGGGCTCGGCCTCTTCCCCGCTTCTGGCTCCCCCGCTCGGGAGCAGGAGGCACACCACCATCACCGCCCCTGACCTTCGTGGGCCCTGGAAACGACAGGGCCGTTTTTTTACCGGTTCCGTTTTGCCCTTTTTGTTGCCGGTTCCGACACCGTTTTTTTGCCGGTTCCGTCGCCGTTGTTTGACCGGTTCCGGCTCTGGTTCCAATCCTGGAGCCGTTTTTGTTGCCGTTTCCGGTCGCCGTTTTTTTGCCGTTTCCATTTTCAAGGGATTTTTTGGGGGAAACGGTGAAAAAACGCCCCTGCCGTTTCCGGGGCCCACAAAGCCCCTGACCACCCTCAGGGCGTCGCGGCCGTCATGTTTGCGGGCCCAGGTCCGTCGGTTTCGGTCCTGGGCCGTTTTCGCTACAGGGTGGTTTACTACAGAGAGGTTTGTCCACCGCCGATCCATCCTCCAGGTGGTGGTGGTGGTGGTGCGCTCCCTTCTCCCTCATCGTGGGGGCCAAGCTGGTGACCCCCACTCCCCCTCCGGGCCCCCCCCCCGGGGGGCCCTGTGCTTCATCCGCGGCTGGGTTTCTCCTGCGCCCCCTCCCGAGGTTACTCCCGCCGCCGTTGCTCCCTTTCCCCGCCTCCCCCCCCGTTCGGGCGACCGTTCTTCGAGTAGGGGACCGATTACACAATCGGTTCCCCCCCGAATTTTCTTCTCCCGTCGAAGCCACCAGAAGAATACGTCGAATCGTCGGCAGGTCGTCTGCGGAGCATCGTGGGCATGTTTCGTAGATTCTCGGGAGCGGAAAAGAGGGGGGTGATGACTAGGGGGGGTTGGATTTCATGGCGCGGGCCATGATTTTTCCTCAGATTTCACGGCGCCTCTTCTTGTTTCATTACGTCCCTGGTCCCCCCGCTGGGCCGCGCACATGCCGCCGGTCATGATTTGCACACCCCCCTCTTGGACACCCCCTTCTTGGCCGCTCCCGAGATTCGACGGGCAATTGTTTTTGGGGCACAAACCGATCCTGTCGCCGATCCCCTCGTCGAGTTCGGCCGCGGCCCTGCCCCGCGCACGGCGGCGCGGACTGCGTGCTCCGCCCGGGGGGGGCGCGAAGGGGCCGGGGGGGGGGGCTGCTCCTGCCCCGGGCGCGCAGAGAGGGCCGCGCGGAGAGGGCCGCACCACAGATCGAGGAGAGCGATCGAGGATCGAGGGGAAGGGGAGGAGCGAGGAGGAGGATCGAGGATCGAGGAGGCCGATGGAGGATCGAGACGCCAGGAGGAGGCTCGAGGATCGAGGAGGAAGAGGTCGAGGCGGGCCTCGCTCCGCGGAGGCCTGTGGTGCGCCTGTGCCCTCTTCTCCGGGCATCGCTCGGACGTCTGCAGGTTTTTTCTCGGCGAGGGCCCTCGAGGAGCAACTCGGATCGCCGAGCTAGCAAAAAAGAGCACGCACGAGACCGCACAATGCACGGGGAATGGACGTGCGAGCGATGGCAAGCTATCCGGGTGTTGCTGGAGGTACGTACCCCTGGCCCAAGGCGCCCCCGAGCTCCGCGCGGATTTTGCGGGCCGGCGTTGGCTCCCCCGGCGGCGCCTCCGGCGACGCCTTTTGCGCGCGCCGCGCGCCAGGGAAAGGGGGTCCAGCGCCGGATCCAAGAAGTTCGATCGGACTTCCGAGAGCTAGTGTGTGTGTGTGTGAGCGTAGCATATTTTTGCTGTCCTCTGATCCGGGCGTCGCACAACAAGGAAACACGCCCTTCTTGCTAACGATGTCGGCGTCCAGAGGCCCCTTCCCGGCCGCGGGCGCGTGCAAAAGTAACGAAGGATGAAAAGCTGGCCCCAGGGAAGGAATCGAGACCCCCGGGGGGCGACGCCAGACGTCGGAGGAGAGAGGGTAGTGCGGACCCCATTCAGTGGATTCTTGCACTTCCGACATGCTGTCTTTTTGGCTCGACCTATGTTCTGCGCGGTGCAGCTTATTGAGAGTATTGGAATTTGAAGAACTTGGAGTCGCCAGCTTCAACGTTCAAGCAAACATCCCACCCGCTTGCCCTAATTTTCTTGGAACATCTCAGCTTGGGCAACTGACGCGCGGATTATTCTCACGCAGATCCATGGTCTGAGCGGTTAGGTGATGATGGCGGCGACGACCTCAGCGAAACCATGTTGATGATGATGTTAATGATGATGATGATGATGATGATGATGATGATGATGATGATGATGATGATGATGATGATGGTGATGATGATGGTGATGGTGATGGTGATGGTGATGGTGATGGTGATGGTGATGGTGATGGTGATGATGGTGATGGTGATGGTGATGGTGATGGTGGTGATGATCATGATGATGATTGTGATAATGGTGATAGTGATGTTGATGGTGATGGTGATGATGGACACGGTGATGGTGATGGCCATGATGATTGCTAAGGTGATCGTGGTGGTGATGGTGGTAGTGGTGATGAACGTGATTGTAATGGTGATGCTGATGCTGATGCTGATGATGGTGATGATGACGAGGACGAGGACGATGGCGATGATGCTGATGATGCGGATGATGACGATACTGACGATGATGATGTTGATGATGATGGTGATGGCGACGATGATGGTGATGGTGACGGTGATGGCTAAAGTGATGGTAGGGTGATGGTGCTGATGGCAATAGTGATGTTGATGCTCATACTCATGCTCATGCTGATGATGATGATGATGATGATGATGATGATGATGATGATGATGATGATGAGCAGGAGGAGGAGACGACGGCGACGGCGACGGCGGTGATGATGACGATGATTATGATGATGTTGGTGGTGATGATGTGCTGGTGATGATGCGGATGATGTTGATTATGATGATGATCTTGACGAGGACGATGATGTTGAGTACGATGATGGTGGTGGTAATCATGGTGATGTTGAAAATGGTGATGGTAATTGTGATAGTGATGGTGATGTCGATGCTGGTAGTAGTGGCGATGACGACGAGGGCGACGTCAACGATGATGATGATGATGGTGGCGATAATGAAGCCGACGATATTGATGGTGATTGTAATGGTGACGGAGGTGTTTGTGATGGTGATGACGATGACCATGATGACGATGCAAGTATGGAGGTAATGCCGATGAGGATGATTGGAAGGTGAGCGCAGCAACTTTGACAGATGTGTAAACAACTCTTATTCAACTGATCAGACACCACATGGCTTCGCAGTGATTTCGACATGCGAACGTGGCGCCGCGCGCGTGTGACTTGCATGACATTGTTTGAAAAGCTTGCGGAGTGCTCGAAGGTTGTTGAATGATGTCGACATGCACGCACAAGTGGGTCGCATTGTCTCATCAAACCTTTCTGATTGAAAAAGTAGTTTGGGCTTGATACATGTGTATAGTATGCTGTGCGGCGTGATGTCAACACAATTGCTTTTGCAGGAAGTTTGAGATGTGCGCGGGCGTGTGGCCACCATATCATTTTCTGATGCGGACGCATTGGAAACTAACTTCAAAGATCAAAGCGAGTGTTCCAAATAGGGTGATAATATTTTTCAGCAGAGAAGGCCCCTGCGGGGGCCCCTGGGGCAAAAGACAACCATGGGCTACCAGAGTTCAATGAGTGACGGCGCATCCTACCCCAGGTCCACCCCAGAGCCTCGCCGGGCTGCCCCGGGAGGTTTCCAAAGTTCCACAGCCAATACGCCGTTGTCAAGAACACGGTGGTGGTTTCGCGTCGCGTTCTGCAGAACATCACATGCGTCCTCACACGTGGTGCATCCAAGCGTCCAGTGGACGCGGCACCATCAGCCCACTTGAGGTCGATGGGCCCGTCGTCAGCCTCGATATTCTCGCACGCGTTTCGGGCTGCGGCTCCAAGGTGGCTACTCCAGCCAGATTTGGCCTTAAATCGGCGGCGAGCGAGGGAGGGAAGTGAGAAGGGGAAGGCCTTCTCAGAAGGCTCGGAAGCCCCTCGGCCTTCTCAGAAGTTTCCTAAGCCTCAGCACAACAACTTCTCAGAAGGCGCGAGGGCTTCTGAGAAGTCCCGCCGCCGTCTGAGAATGCCTTCTCCTTCTCATTTCCCCCCCTCGCTCGCCGCCGACTCCAGCAGAACGCCCTGAGACCACTCTCAGACGGCCCTCAGAGTCACTGATGTTGTTCAGGTTGTTGTGAGGGCATTAGCATGTTTCGACGGCCCAAGTCGCTCCCTATAGCGCCCCAGACGCCCAATATGCCCCTAGAGAGGGCCCATGATACCTTTTACATAAGAGGCCCCCACTGAGGCCGAGCTCGCTAGCCAGCCCCCAAGAGGCCCCCAAGGCCCCAACCCCAAGCGGCGCCACAAGAGCGTGCTTGGACTTGGCCCCAATCCGCGGACCGCTGAAGCCGCGCGCCATAGACCACTCCTTACCTCGGGCCACTTGTGCGTCACGCGTCTAGCCAGCAGAGTGGCGAGAAGCCGGGCGGCAGGCTGCTCGGGATCCTCCCCGCTCGCCTCAGGCGCGCTAGGCGTGCTGCACAGGCACCGGAAGCTGGTGAGCCGCTTCCGCGGGGGGCCCAGTCGGCCACGGCGCACGGCAAGAGTGGGGACGGAGACCGACACCGAAGAAGAAGAAGAAGCAGACGGCACATGAATTTTCGGAGCTCCGCGCTAATCTCTTGGATCGGCACTGGACCCCTCCTGGCGGCGCCTGCGGCGCCGCTCTGGCGCGTTCCGCGCACCAGGGAAGGGGTTTCAGCGCCGATACAAGAAATCCACGCGGACCTCCAAAAAGTTGATACTTTATGCTATTTTTCGTTGTTCCCTTAACGACAGCAGCTCCTGTCCGTTCTGAGCAGGGTTTGCTATCGGTGTTATCTCGGACGTTATCCATCTGAGGCAAGAGGTCTGACCAACAGCGGCAGCTGTCGGTTTTGGACAACGCTTGCTGTTCGGCATCATGTCATCATGTCCGCTTTTTTCCGTACCCATTCCTGGCGTACCAAATGGAGAAGGATGAGGAAACAGAGGAGAGTCCTTCTTTGGGAGTCGTGGCTTGGGGGGTTATCCCTCCGCCTCGAAGGTCTGAAGCGCCTGACCCGCGTGTTGGTGGTGTGCGTCTTGCGCGGCTGTTGCGTTTCGAGGTTGCGTGACACTGGCGTGCAGCTCGTTATTGCGAAGTGAAGAGGAAGCGGAGGTGAGAGAGTGCAGGCCCGTGAGGAAAAACAATTGCACGGCAAGGCGGAGGAGGCCGAGTGGATCGGCGGGAATGAGGGAAGGGTGTCGGAAGGGAGGAAGGCCCTCCCACACTAGTCTCTCTTTTTGCATGTCCTTTGTGCGAGTGGAGAACCGACAGTTACATGAAAACATCCTGGACAAACATTCGGATAATTCGATTGCATGTGGGTGCATGGTTCGACTGGATGGTGATCGCAATACATGTGTAAGTGCGGGGTTTTTCAAATTCCGTTTCGAATTCAAATTCGAATTGCATTATGGGCACTCGATTGGTATGTTCGTTGCACTTCGATGTGCATTTCTAATTACATGTCGGTTTGCCTTTCGATGCCCATGTTGATACGTGCGTCGATGGAGCATTCGGTGCGCATTTCGAATCTGGTGTTGGTTTGAATTCGGGCGTGTGTTTCGAGTATCATGTGGATGATCATTATTTTAATTTCGATAGCAAGTCATTTTGCAAACCGCTGTGCATATTGATTTGCATTTGGATTGCGCGTTGGTCTGCAGATCGTTTGCAATTGCATGTGCACCTCGATGTGCATTTCCCACGGAGCATCTCCTGGACAACCCGCGGGACAAAGCCCACGAGATACAATCCACAGGGCACGACCCATAGGGACAACGGACAACCACGGGACCACGGGACGACCCGACGGAGCAATTCGCGGGACAACCCACGGGACAACCACCAGACAACGCACGCGACAGCGACGAGAGTGTTAGGGACAGCCGCGGGACAACCACGGGACAACCACGGGACAACAACGGGACAACCACTCAACAGCCCCGGGACAACCCGTGGGACAATCATTGGACAGCTCAACCTGTTTTCGGGCCGGGCCGAGACGTTTGCTCGCCCGACTTGGCCCCAGGCTCGGCCGTCACATCATCACCTTCGCGCAGCTCCGCCTCTTTCGCGTGCACAACGCAGAACCGCCAAAGGTCTTTAGTTTTGGTCCCTCCCTTTTCTCTCGGCGGTGACCAGGACTGGTCCTGAAACGTCCTCCTCCTGTCGTCGTCGTTGTTGCGCGGCGGGTGCCGCGGAAAGAAATGATTAGTTACCCGCGATCGATGGGACGCCAGTCCATCAATAAGGCCGCCTGAAAATAATTAGGTACCCCTATTGGGGTGGTTCCCAAGACCTTTCAGGGTCAACCGAAACCTAAAACGAAGCCAGTTTCCCCGTTGGGATCATGTCGTTTTCGCACCCCAGCAGTCCTCGCTCCGCCCGCGGTGGGGCGGGGGGGAGGGGGCTCGAAGTGCCGATCGTCTCTTGTTGTCTGTACGCAGAACTGCGGGTCAGACGTGCCCGCCTTTCCATCGGCACCAGCGAAATGGGTACGGAAAGAATGGGTTCAATGCCCATCAACAGTCCCTGTTCATCTTGAACCGGATTCGCTGTCCGCGCCGCCGCGGCCTGTGTCCATTTGAGACAGAAGGCCGCCTATCCAAGAGCGGCTGCTGCTGCTTTGGGACAACATGTGTTGCTGGGCACTGTACCCATTTCTTCCGTACCCACTTCGGGCATCCAGATTCCAGGCTTTTCGACAGGAGGGAGGCCCTCGCTCTCGTGCCCGTCGCGCGGGCGTGGCTGCGGCGCTATAGGTGGCGCGGCGAGAGAGGATAGACCTGCTGCGCAGCCTATTGCGCGAGAGGGACAGGGGCAAAGATCCCTCCAGCCTCACCTGAAGCAGACGCCAGCCTCTCCTGATGCTGGAAGGCTGGCGAGGCCTCCAGGGAGGACGCGTGAGGGGATCCCCTGCATCGAAAAAGAAAAAACACCATGTACAGACTTTCGGGGCTCCGCGCGGATTTCTTGGATCGGCGCGGGGCCCCCCTGGCGGCGCCTCCGGCGCCGCCCCTGGCGCGCTCCGCGCGCCAGGGAGGGAGGTCCAGCGCAGTTCCAAGAAAGAAATCCGCGCGGAGCGCCAAAAGTTAATGAATATGGATATGGCATTTTTTCGTCTCCTACTGCAGTGTGAGAGAACCAAGGAGCTGCACTACCACACTGTAGTTTCGCGTCTTATCGACCGGTGGCGACTCCGCCGCCAGCGTTCAACGTTGCACGCCGCAGGTGACCTAGAGTCGGTCGACGTGGAACGATCTGGCGTTTCGGAAACGGTTGATCCTTGAAGGTTGAACGATCCCAGCGGTGTCAGAAACCAACGCCAGTGTCTACTACGATGCAAGGACAGGCAGGGGTCGTCTTCGTCTCAGGTCAGACCAGAGGGGTACATGCACCTTCCCCTCCCTATTCCTCGCCCGTCCCACTTTCGCAACGACGACCGCATCAAGCAGTGTGGAAAAGGAGGGTTATGATTTGTCGGCATTTTCGTCCTTGGCTGTATTGGAGCGAGTTTCGGGTTGTCTCGAGGTCGCTATGCGGAGCGATTGTTTTGAGGTCATTTTTGGTTCGGGCGTCTTGATCTGGGACTTGATGCAGCGTGCTTCTTCAGATTGTAGGAATGGTAAGCGTTCATTTTGCTGTGTCGGAGGAGGGGGGGTTCAATGTTCGATCATGGACCCATGGCAGATCCCTTTCGAGCCAGTCGATCCGATTAAATATCGAGTTCGGCCGATCATACCTGATTCTGTTCCAACATGTTCACGATCCGATGAGTCTCGATGCTTGCACGGCGCTGTTGTACACCCGGGCACCCGGGCGCGGCCGGTTCGATCCGACTATTTGATTCTGGTAGTGCAGCTCGATCCGGTGCATGATCCGACCCGAATCAACGACTCGATGTTTATCCGCCGGCCGTTGAAAGTTGACATGTTTGGACACCCAGGTCTCGATATACTTCAAGCGCCTTCCTACTTCAAGAATCGATGGGTGTTGGCTGTAAGTGTTGATTGCTGTTTCTTGTTATTCTTTGGGTGGCCCGAACCCAATCTACTGTATCCGCAGTCCTACTTCATGTCTCTACGTATGTCTTCCGACTTGCGGGAACTGATCTTGTTTTTTTTCTGTTGTGCCACCATCCACCTCTTGCGCAAACGACCGCCGAAAGCTGAGGCAAGGGTTGCGTGTTCGAAACGCATGAGGAGGAGGAGGAGGAGGAGGAGGAGGAGGAGGAGGAGGAGGAGGAGGAGGAGGAGGAGGAGGAGGAGGAGGAGGAGGAGGAGGAGGAGGAGGAGGAGGAGGAGGAGGAGGGAGGAGAAGAGGAGGAGGGGGAGGAGGAGGAGGAGAGGGTGGAGGTGGAGGTGGAGGAGGAGGACAGGCTGTGGCCCGCGGTGTGTCGGTGTTGCTGTTACTGGCATGCCCAGGGGCGCAGGGTCGCATTGTGGCTCTCCCGTCTGGCACCACGCCGGGTGCAGGAGGGGCTCTACAGTCGGGTCCCTGAAGAAGGAACCCTTTTGGGATCGCCCACCTCCTCCTCCTCCTCCTCCTCCTCCTCCTCCTCCTCCTCCTCCTGGTTGGGGAGGGGCTCCGCGTTCCTTAAGTGTTTCACAGCTTGCCTCAGGTTTTCCTTATGTTTTCGATGGGACATCGGAATTTCACTTATGGAAACAAAAGGGGCCTCGTTCCTTATTTAGGGTTCCTTAGGTCAACGCCCCGACTGCAGTTTCTGGGCCGTTCTGTGGATCGGGGTCGGAAAAGCTGTGCGTGGCTGAGACTCGCCGCGGCCACATATGCACGGCGACTGCGCTGGAGCACCTCGCATTGACTACAGAGCGAACCGCGCGTGAAGGCAGCACCAGCCAGTCAGGCAGAGTCGGACAGATTGGTTCTCTTGCCGTGCAGGTCCTGCTCGCATCCGCATGCCCACTGTCAGCATGTTGCATGGCTTACATGACGGGCTGTTGGTACCTCCCTTCACGGGGGCAGTCTACCTCAGGTGTTGACCCTTTGAGACTTGCATCCTGCTCTCTCGACGGGTCCGTGAAGGACTCAGGGAGGGTTGCTTTCGACGTCGACGTGGTTTCGACAATGGAGGGTATGATAACTGTAGCAAGGAGTATGGCAGAAGATGCAACCGAGTGCGTTGCCAGCAGCAGTAGAACAACGTCTAATGGAAAGTGGGGGCATGTGATTGATATGATGATTGGATGTGCAAGGGATTGTACAATCCCCTGCCAGGTTAGTTGCGTAATGCCAGCATTAGTTTGTAAGCTAATTTGCGTGACCCAGCATTCGCGACGTTGATCACTTCACTGGAAGCGAACGCAGTAATCTAGATGAGTGGACACAGGGTTTATGCTTGCGCACATACGGACGCAGGGATAGCAAAGGTTCGAGGCGTTGCATTGAGCATTCTTGAGAACATGACAGGGTATCAGACCAACAGAGTCACAGTAACAAACTACGCTGTCTCCTGCTCAGCACGTGATCGTTCAGCCGTTCAGTAACTCTGCGCACGGTGAAGCCGAACTAAGAAACTCGACATAACAGTTTTCGATATGCATGCTGCTACATAACACAGCCAGTTGGTGAAGACGATGAGATCGCAAGCGAAGAGATCTGTTTGACAATCGAGGGGGAAGCTTCTTGACCGCCAAGAATGCAGCGCACGCATACCGACTGTTAGCGGCGGTGACGTGACGATTATCCTCGTAAGTACGTGACTAGGTGCACGCCAAATAAGCGAAGACAAGCAGACACATCATGAGGCCTTGTCATTGGAAACCTTAACGTGCGGAATAGTTGGAGGGGAGGTAAGGAGTGAATACGCGGTTTTCAGAAGGAGCCAAAGAGGCAGGAGAAGAAAGGAAGTAAGGGGGGCCGAGAGGAAGAACGGGTACATACTCCAGAGACTTCATCTCACGAGGGAAGGGAGGTTTCATCGCTGGAACCTCCAGAATTTCGTGCCGCAGCCTTAGTGCTAAATCCTTGACACCCCGAGTCTGTTCTGGCGAGCTGCTGTTTGTAGTCACTGCTGTGCTGCTTCTCCTGCACTCTGCGTTTCGACAATGCTGCTCTCTGCCCCTCCCCCTCCTCTTCCCCTCCTCTTCCTGCTTTCTTCTGTCGATAGTTTCTTCTTATTATTCTGGCATGGTTTGCGTTTGATGTCGTTGGCCATTTGGGCCTCGGGGGATGTTGGCACGCAGCGCAGTCCACTTCTCTTTGACCATGGCTCGCTGCACGAGTTTGTCGTTTGCAGGTCGGCCTCTTTGGGTCTCTGCTTTGCCGGGCAACCTTCTGATTCGCACTGCGGCTGGGACCGAGATGCGTGGAGATCCACGATTCGGACCGAAACTTCTGAGGGCACCATGGAGAGGAGACCCACCCAGGCACGTCGACAGAACTCCTGCACCGACTCGCCCGACAGTGGCACTCGCGTTGCGCCGAGGCGGTCCCCCCGTCGGTTCCGCCGATCGAAGTGCTATGCGTTCTGTCGAGCGCGCTGCTTCTAGGCGCCCGGTTGGCGAGAGAGCCTCCGCAGGGGCGCGAAAGTGGTCGCGTTTCTCGCGCGCCGCGGTCTGAGCCAGGGCAGTACAGTCGGACCCAGGCACAAGATCGAGGTCGGTTCGGGGAAGGTACCCTTGCTGGAGGCTCTTGTGCAACCTGGGGAGGGTAGTCCCCTCTCGAGGGTTCTGCTCGTTCTGGCCGACGGAGGGCGTCGCATTCTCGAGGGAGTCTCTTCTGGCCCAGGTCCGACGGTGCCTCTGCCCAGATCGGGTAGAGCTCGGACCCTCGCTGAGGGGATCCGGTTGGTGACTGGGCCCCGAAGCCCCAATCGTGCGCCGGAGTCACTGATCCAGGTCCGTCGCAGCTGGTGTTTTTCAGGTGGCGGTAGTTCCGCGTAGTGTAATGGGGCGGGGGGGCCCTCCTATCGGTATGGCCCATACCCACGTCGTCCTCCTCCTCCTCCCTATCCTCCGCCTCCTCCTCCTCCGCCTCCGCCTCCGCCTCCTCCGCCTCCTCCTCCTCCTCCGCCTCCTCCGCCTCCTCCTCCTCCTCCTCCTCCGCCTCCGCCTCCTCCTCATTCTCCTCCTCCCCCGTCCTCCTCCTCCTCCTCCTCCGCCTCCTCCTCCTCCTCCTCCTCCTCCTCCTCCTCCTCCCCCTCCTCCTCCGCCCTCCTCCTCCCCCTCCCCCCACGAAGCCCAGTCCTGCCAGCGCCCGACCAGGGGCGGCGGCCCGTGGCGCGGGGCGCGCGGCGAGGTGTGCGCAGCTCCTGTCGCCCGGGGGTTCTCGGATAGCGCAGCGCGGTGCGCACCCGTGGAGATGCCCGGTCAGCTTTCGGGAAGGGTTGTTCTCAAGCAGTGGCGAAGCGTCTGGGCTCCCCTCCAAATAATGCGAAGACTGGGACTACAGCAAAGTATAAAGATGGTGCTCAATATGAAGCTGGTGATCGATACAACGTAATAGCTAACGCGAACCGTAGCGATTAAGGCTCAGTATCAAGCTGACCAAAGCAAAGCGACGCTAAGCTCGTTGAACGCTGAAGCAAGAGCTAAAACAAGTAATGTCGTAACGAAAAGGGAGGCTTGGATCCGTCCAGACGAGCCAGTTCAGTACCGTTTGTGGTCTGCACGAAATGTCCTTAGGACCTTTTCGGCTGACCCTGTCCTGTTTTAACACATCGGGCTCCTGTTCTAAGAACATTACTTTTGATCTTAGAACGCTTCTGGGTTCTAAGAACATTGCGTGGTAGGCCTATAGAAATATCGGGACGGTCGGTCCCTGCCCAAGTACTCGGGAGCCTTGATCGGGGGCCCCCAAGCGGGGTGATGACCACACCGTGTGGCGAGTCGGTGGGGATTCGGGGTCACCGCACGGTTTTTGGACTCGAGCCCCTCTCCGAGGATGTCTCGGGCGACAGGGGCCTTCAGGGTTACAAGACCGTGCGGTGACGGACCGTGCAGTGAGGTTTCTTGGGGTCCCGAGGTCACCGCACGGTCTGTCACCACACGGTTTGGGGATCCCCAATTCGAGACCGGGGTCAATGCAAACGGGGGTCAGCTGGATCTTGCAAAGCGTAAGTCGGGCGTGTTCCTCTACAGGAGAACGATCCAACAATAGCAACACAAAAAAATAGTCTGGGGATATTTGACCATCTTTGGCTATTCAGAGGCACTTTTGACTATTTATGATTTTTCCTCCAAAATCCGCCTGTAGGAGGACATGCCCGACCTAATCCAAAGCCTGACTGACCTGGGCCTGGATTGACCCAGGTCAGTGAATCCCCGAGGTATGTTGATGAGGGGAGTTTGTCCACCCTCGAGCTTGTCAAACACAACACGGATTGCGTTCTTTGGTGGCATGGGAGTTGTGTTGTATACGCCGATTCCGGGCGGTGTGGCGTGCGACAAGGATTTGTTGAACCTTCCAGAATCACAATCAGACACATGCTCCGGTTTTCAACAAGCATCATTGTTGAAGGTCCCCTTGAAGGCCTCATGGGATCTCTCGGAAGCCTCTTTGGATCTTGGGATCTCTTGGAGCTAATATCGTGGACAAGGCATTTGAGAGGCAGCTTAGAATTTTCATTTTTGGGGGGAGGCCTCTTGGAGGCCCGGATGGGGCCTCTAGCAAGCCTCTGGGAGGCGCCCGTGGGGCCTCATGGGGACCTCTTGGCAGTTTCTGGGAGCCTCTGGGCGCATCCTGCGGGCCTGGAAGAGGTCTGGGGGGCCAGCGAGAGCTCCAGAAGCCTCTTCGAGTTTCCGCTCCTGGGCCCTCCTCCTCCTCCTCCTCCTCCTCCTCCTCCTCCTCCTCCTCCTTCCCCTCCTCCTCCACCCCCGTTTTCTCATACTCCTCCTCCTCCTCCTCCTCCTCCTTCTCCTCCTCCGTTGTTTTCTCCTACTCCGTTTCTTCCTACTCCGTTTCCTCCTCCTCCCCTTCCTCCTCCGTTTCCCCGTCCTCCTGCCCCTCCTCCTCATCCTCCTCCCCCTCCTGCTTCATGGGACCAGCTTGGGGCACGCTGGAGGCGTTGGCTCCGAACCACGGCCCCGAGGCTTCGGGGAGAGCCACGACCCCAACCCCCCCAAGGGGAGCCCAACCCCTGGCCCAAGTCCAAAGATTCCAGGCGTGCTGGCTCGCGTTCGGCGATCACTCCGCTGCCAGCGCTCCTGCCAGGAAGCTCAGCCCGGGCGTGCCAGATCGCTTCTGTTTCGCATGTCATTGCCTGGAAGGGTTGGCCGGAGGGGGGGGGGGGGGCGACCGCAAATGTTCGACAAGCAGTTCTTTCCACAACGTGCAGGACAGTTTTTGAATGCCGAGACCTCGACGAGGTATGAGGACGTTCCCACTCCACTCGGTGCCTGCGGCACGGTGGCGGATGATGCGGCGGTGTTCCCCAACCCGTGTATACACCTGCAGGGTCTTTGCGGGTGTTGTGAGGATTCGGCGAACGTCGAAGAGTGTGCCACCGATGTCGCAAGGCGGCCGGGTTCTGTTCCGAGTCTCGACGAATGTGTGTTGCCGGTTTTGGTAAGCGGTCAGGGGAGGGGTCCAAGAAACAGCACGCAGCGTTTGCTCTTCACAGGCAGCAGGTTGTTCTGAGATGTTGGTTGAGGGCCTCGAGGATCGCAGTGTTGTTGGCCTAAAGCCGCTGCAAGTGTTTCCGCGTGGGCATCCAGGGCACTTGCACCTTTCTTGCGTCTTAATGTTGCCTAATCAGTGGGCCTGCAGAATTGGAGTCACAGTGGGCCCCACAAGGGACAACACGCATTCGCATCTGTCAATCATGCAAGCTCTTCAAAGGTCTCTTCTCTCTCTCTCTCTCTTTCTCTCTGTCTGACACGGCCCATGCCTGTCGGCGCGTAACATGGCCAGGGCCCCCCAGGGGAAATTCGCATGCAGATGGTGCAATCAGTGGGTGTTTTGGGTATGGCGCTCCCCGCGCGCTCCCCGAGGCCTCGCTGCGTGAGAGTGCCCCCTCTCTGCGGCCGCTCTCTCTCTCTCTCCGCCTTCCTCCCCTCATTGCATGCGGGCCACTCCGCGACTCCGTGTCCCGGTGTGGCCCCGACGCGCGAGCGGCGTGCCCCTGCCGCGCCGCCACGTGAAAAGTGTTTTGGGGCATGGATTCGACGAGGGTCGGTGCCAACCGAATCGTAGCGCGTGTTTCTCGGGGCCCTCTTGGCGTCCCTGGGGGGGGCAGGCGGTCCTATGAGCCCACAGACGGCCACTGGGGGTCCGCGGTGCACGGATTGCGGGAGGGGTGTGCCGAGTCGAAGTTCCTTGGATGATTGAGAGTGTTTTTGTTCCCTCACTTTCTTGGCCATAACGCGCGTTACGTTCCCTATCCCCCCCCATAACGTATAACGCGCCCCGTGTGGAGGGGGGGGGGGGGGGGCGCTACGTCATGCCCCCTCCCGTCCTGCTCCTCCTCCACTCCTCCTCCTCCTCCTCCTCCTCCTCCTCCTCCTCCTCCTCCTCCTCCTCCTCCTCCTCCTCCTCCTCCTCCTCCTCCTCCTCCTCCCCCCTGCCACCCCCATAACGCCCGTCATGGGCCGCGAATGAAAAGATGCGTTCGTTCCTCTGACTGAGGGGTCACCCAAGGGCCCTGGGAGTCTACGAGGGGCACGAAAGGCGGGAGGGGCGGGCGCCGAGTCGAGACGCTCCTTCTAGCCGAGAGTCTCGAGGGCCAGCGGCTCAAGGGCCGCCCTCGCGCGCGCGCGGACCAGATATCTAAGCGCTCCGACCTGAGTTACGCGAAGGAAATCCAACACGCCCGTGGCCCTCTGGGTCAGCGAATTGAGGATTGTCGTTGCAGCTGCTCCGATGCGAATTGCCCGCCCACCTGAAACCTCGCACTCCATCGCCGAGCGTTGCTGCCGAGGTTGCATCGCCGCGAGGTCGCGCCGCGCCAGAGGTGGCCCGGGCCGCCACTGCAAGGGAGGGAATGCGATGGCGGTGGTGGTGGTGATGTTGGATGTTGGTGATGCGAGCGCGTACATCAGAGCGTGAATTACCTACCCCGCTTTCGTTTCCAGGCAAAACCAAGCCATACCACGCGCCCCCGCGTCAAGCGGCCTGACCAGTACAGGCTGCAATTTGGCATCGTTTGGTATCTCTTGGAAGCGAGGATGGTCAAAAGCGAGGTAGACCATGATGACGACGATTCCGACGACGACGATGATGATGCTGACGCTGATGCTGATGCTGATGCTGATGCTGATGCTGATGCTATTGGTGATGATGCTTATTGTTGTGGTAATGATGGTGATGGTGGTGATGATGATGATGAGGAGGAGGAGGAGGAGGAGGAGGAGGAGGAGGAGGAGGCAGAGGAGGAGGAGGAGGAGGAGGAGGCAGGGAGGAGGAGGAGGGAGGAGGAGGAGGAGGAGGAGGAGGAGGAGGAGAGGGAGGAGGAGGAGGAGAACAAAGGAGAGAGGCAAGACGAGGGGAGGACTGATGGGAGACGGGGAAGGACAAATATGTTGCCCAGGGGGGCAGGGAGCAAGAGGCCAGGAAGAAGAGAGGGGTGGAGGAGGGAGGAGGCAGGAGGCAGGGGGATCGCGGGGGATGGCCGGAAAGTGAGGACTGCGGAGGGATGGGGAGCGGCGAGGGGGCCCAAGCGCTCCCCACTCGCAGAGGCCCCCGCCCCCGAGATGTCAGACCGGGTGCGCACGAGGCCCCCGCGGACAGGCCAGGAGCCCGTGGGCGACGCAGAGAAGTCTGGGACGAGACACCTGGCGGCGGAGGCAGGCGCAGCAGGGTGAGCTCGGGAGGGGGAAGAGGAGGAGGACGACGAGGAGGACGAGGAGGAATAGGACGAGGAGGAATAGGAGCAGGAAGAGGAGGAGGAAGAGGAGGAGGGAGGAGGAGGAGGAGGAGGTGGAGGAGGAGGCTCAAGAGGCGGGGGCCAGTGCACACGGGGGTCAGTGCCCATACCTCTACCCCTCGCCCGTTTTCCCCTGTTTTGGGCCTCCTGGGAGGCCCTCGCCGCCACCGCTGGATGCGCCTCGAACTCCTGGCCAGAACGCACCCCCGGAGAGGTCCAGGGAGTAGCGGTATCGGTGCATTTCGGTTTCCCCAAAACGGGGGCCAGCCAGAGCGCCGGGTCTTGCCGGATCCTGCTGGGCCAGGGTCGCACTGACCCGGGCTTGGGCGCAGGATCCTGCCTGAGCTTGCCGAGCCCGGCTGGCCTGGGTCTGGGTTGGCCCGGGCAGCAGCTGCCCGAGTCAGGGCGAGCGTGGCGAGGAGAAGCGGCGGACGAGGTGTTCTGTCTGCGCTGCGGTCGTGGGCCCTCCAGCGAGCTGGGAGTCCTCGGCGGGCGGTCACGGGCGGTCGCGGGCTGTTGCTCTGGCGCCGCCGCCGCCGCGAGTTGGCCGCGGCGGGCCTGGGCGGCCCGGAGCTCTCCAGCCGGCTGGCGCGGGGCAGTGCCGCGGAGGCCTCGGGTGCGCACCTCGAGCGCGGCAACGCGTGGCAGCGCCCGTGCGGGGGGGGGCCCACGCGAAGGCGGCGGGCGCTGGCAACGTGGCGCGAGGGCGGGCCACGGCCGGCCTGGCCGAGGTCGGGCGGCGTCGCGGGGGCGCGCGGCGGCCCCTGGGGCGTCCGCACGGGCCGGGGAAGGTGCTAGGCCTCCCAGAGGGGGTCGGAGGGTTGCACCGCATCGCCGAGGCATCGGCGTTGCGGCCAGGTGCATGTAGAGCCCGATCTTCTCCACGCCGACGTCGCCAGTGCATTGCCGACGTTGCCGGTGCGTCGCCGATGCATCGGCGATGCAGCGCGATCCTCCGACCCCGTCCACTCCGACCCCATCCGGGAGGCCTCTAGCAGAGCCGGTCCAGTTTGGCCTGCCGCCTCCATGGGGCTCGGCAGCAGAGCCCGACGCTGCTGAGGTAGCCATCGCCAAGCCACAAGAAGCGTCGAGTAAGCATCGAGATGGGCTGCTCTTGAGCGGGGCAGGGACGGGAAGGCCAGTGGCTGCGTGGGGGTCCCCGTCGCGGCAAGGCGGCGGCGCTCTCGACGCTGCTGCGGCATCTAGAAAGGCATCGTGGGGAGGGCCTCGACGCAAGCTTGGCTCCCAGCCTCGGAATGGGTGACCACGGGTGGCGGTCCAGCGCAGATCCAAAAAATCCGCGCGGACCTCCAAAAGTTGATGTTGGTGGTTCTGCCACTTGCGGCTCCTCGACTGTCCCCGTCCCCGCCGGGCCACTGCATCTCGACCCCACCAGCGAACCACCACGGTTGGGGATGGGCTTCTCGAAGCCAGACGGGAAAAGCCTGACTGCATCCCTCTAGCGGATTTTGGGCGAGGAGCATCCGCTCCGGAGCGTGAGCGCTCTGAGAAGGCCGCGCGGCGCTTGAGACACTCCGCAGCCGCCGGATCTCAGAGAATCTCGATTCATCCGCACCCGAATTTCTTTTCGCCTTGGCTTCGTCTCAATTCCCATCTAGGGAGGCAAATCGGCCAATGGGGCCCAGGCCACGCCAGCGGCAGGGCTCGGTGAAGCGCTGCTCAGTAGCGCCCGCGTGTTGCGGCCTCCACAAGCGAGGCCACGATGTCGTGAGCGCCACGACTGTTCGTGGGCCCCGTCGCCGCCCGATCGCCCCGGGGACAAGGGGCGCGGAGCCGTGCGATCGTTTGGGCCGCGGACCAGGAGGAGGAGGAGGAGGAGGAGGGAGGAGGGGGAGGGAGGAGGGGAGGGGGAGGGGGAGGGGAGGGGAGGGGGAGGGGGAGGGGGAGGGGGAGGGGGGAGGGGGAGGGGGAGGGGGAGGAGGGGAGGAGGAGGAGGAGGAGGAGGAGGAGGAGGAGAGAGGGAGGAGGAGGAGGAGGACGAGGGGGAGGGAGGAGGAGGAGGAGGAGGAGGAGGAGGAGGAGGAGGGGAGGAGGAGGAGGAGGAGGAGGAGGAGGAGGAGGAGGAGGAGGAGGAGGAGGAGGAGGAGGAGGAGGAGGAGGAGGAGGAGGAGGAGGAGGAGAAGGAGGAGGAGGATGATGGAGGATGGAGGATCGATCGATCGAGCTCTCGGGCCGGTTCGGTGCTGCACTCTCGCTACGTGCTGTGCTGCTTACTAAAGTTGCGTGGCCTAGCTGAGGTCACTTTGCTGAAAGGGGGTCGCGGGCGCCACTTAGACGCTCGGGCCCTACCTGCACCGACCTTCCCCACGCAGGGGTCTGCGGGCAGGGTAGCACCCGCTTTACGAGTGCCCTCTCGCTGTCTCCTCTACACCCGTGCCTCGTCTGCCTCGTCCCTTTCCCCTACCCTTTCGCTTCGGTTCGGGTGGGGGCGGGGGAGGTCGGTGCACGACAAAATAGTTGGGAAAACTCAGGCCTCGGAGTTGGAGAAGGTCGGGAGTCCCAGTCGGAGGCGGAGGAGGGGGGAGGCGGCCTTCCCTGACCAGCTCGTGGAATCGTGCGCTGGTGAGAAAAGTTCGCGGGATGGCCTGAGGGGCCGCGCTCGCTGGGACAGAACAGAGCCGCACCGTCCGCTCAGTCACATCACTATGCGCCTCTCCTCTCTCCGTGTCGTTCTGGCTCAGTTGCTGACGAGACGTCCCAGTTCTCGCTCCAGTGCTCCACGTGGCGCCGCCCCGATCTTGCGGCTCGCTCCCTCCTTGCGGAGGGCGCGCGTGAGGATCGTCTCCAGCTGCGTGTCCGTTGCCAGGATGGAGGATGGAGGAGGAGGAGGATGGAGGATGGAGGATGGAGGATGGAGGATGGAGGGAGGAGGATGGAGGGAGGAGGGAGGAGGGAGGATGGAGGATGGAGGATGGAAGATGGAGGATGGAAGATGGAGGATGGAGGATGGAGGAGGAGGGAGGAGGGAGGAGGGAGGAGGAAGACGAGGAGCAGCAACTGGGAGGGAAAATATGGATGAGGATGCGAGGGAGGGAGGGAGGGAGGGAGGATGGTGCAGGACTGATGAAGGCCTGGCAGCGCCGCAGCCTTCCCTCCCGCGGCGCTGGCCTTCACGAGAGGCGGGCAGTCCCTGCGGCAAGGAGTCCGACGAGGCGCCCGGGCCCGCCCCTGCGAAGGTGTGCCCCCTCCTCCACCTCCCCCTCGTCCTCCTCCTTCTCCTCGTCATGCCATCCTCCTCCTCCTCCTCCTCCTGCTCCTGCTCCTCCTCCTCCTTCGCCTCCTCCTCCTCCTCCTCATCCTCCTCCTTTGCCTCTTCCTCCCTTCTCGAGCACTTTTGGTCGAAGGGCAAACATCCATTTCCGGAGGTCCCCGCATGTTTCCCGTGACGGCGCCTCGGCCCTATTGGCGGCGCCTGCGACGCCGCCACTGACGCGCCCCGCGCGCCAGGGAGGGGTGTCCAGCGCCGATCCGAGAGATCCGCGCGGAGCTGCGAAAGTTTGTGTTCAGGCCGCTGATCCTTCCTTCGACCTCACCTGGGTGGGCCTACCTCTGCTGGCTCCCTCCGCGGCCGGTCGTGTTTCCTACGCCGGCTGCCTAATTAGGTGCTAACTCTTTGGTCTGTCTAGTTGCCACGATTTGCTGACCGCGTCTTGCCCCAAGTCGCCGCGACCAACACACGGAACGCGCAGTCTGGTCAGATCAGTGGGTCGATCTTGGAGAACGAAAGCCACACAGCTCCTGCGCCTTGTCAATCGCATCCCATGCCGTCCTCATATCTGGAGTCGGTCCCGAGTGCGTGGCGAGCACGAGGATCATCGATGATCGAGGTTTTGGGGGGCGCCTCTACTCTTGCTTCGGCCCTCGAGGCGGCCTGAGGAGGCCTCTTGGGAATTCCCGGGGATTGGCGCGGGCCTAGCGTAGGACGACGACGACGACGACGACCCGAGGGGAGGGGGAGGGCGTCGCGCAAATAGCAGCGCCGTGGGCGATGCTTCACAGGTTGGGTTCCAGGCTTGTTCGTCGGCATCGTCCATTGCCTCCTCCGAATTCCAATCCCCTGCGAGTGGTAGTAGTAGTAGTAGTAGTCGTCGTCGTCGTCGTCGTCGTCGTCGTAGTCGTAGTCGTAGTCGTAGTCGTAGTCGTAGTCGTAGTCGTAGTCGTAGTCGCAGTCGTAGTCGTAGTCGTAGTCGTAGTCGTAGTCGTAGTCGTAGTAGTAGTAGTAGTAGTAGTAGTAGTAGTAGTAGTAGTATAGTAGTAGTAGTAGTAGTAGTAGTAGTAGTAGTAGTAGTAGTAGTAGTAGTAGTAGTAGTAGTAGTAGTAGGTAGTAGTAGGTAGTAGTAGGTAGTAGTAGGTAGTAGTAGGTAGGTAGTAGTAGGTAGGTAGTAGGTAGGTAGTAGTAGTAGTAGGTAGTGGTAGTAGTAGTAGTAGTAGTAGTAGTAGTAGTAGTAGTAGTAGTAGTAGTAGTAGTAGTAGTAGTAGTAGTAGTAGTAGTAGTAGTAGTAGTAGTAGTAGTAGTAGTAGTAGTAGTAGTAGTAGTAGTAGTAGTAGTAGTAGTAGTAGTAGTAGGAGTAGCAGCAGTAGTAGTTAGTAGTAGTAGTAGTTGTAGTAGTAATAGTAGTAGTAGTAGTAGCTAGTAGTAGTGAGCAGGAGTAGTAGAAGTATAGCATTAGCAGTAGTAGTAGGGAGTAGTGGTGGTAGTAGTAGTAGTAGTAACCGTTCGTCGTTGTTGGTAGTTAGTAGTAGTAGTAGTTAGTAGTTAGTAAGTAGTAGTATTGGTAGTCGGTAGTCGTAGTCGTAGTCGTCGTAGTTCTTAGTAGTAGAGTAGTTAGTAGTAGTAGTAGTAGTAGTTGGTTGGTAGTCGTAGTAGTAGTAGTAGTAGTAGTATAGGATTAGGAGTAGAGGCAGTAGTAGTAGGAGTAGGAGTAGTAGTAGTAACACTAACAGTGGTAGTGGTGGTAGTAGTAGCAGCAGCACCACTAGTAGTAGTAGTAGTAGTAGGAGTAGTCGTCGTCGTAGTCGTAGTCGTAGTCGTAGTCGTAGTCCGACTTGTATTCGTAGTAGTAGTGGTAGTAGTAGAAGTAGTAGTAGTAGTAGTAGTAGTAGGAGTCGTAGCAATAGGAGTAGTAGTAGTAGGAGTAGTAGTAGTAGTAGTAGTAGAAGTAGCAGCAGTAGTAGTAGTAGTAGTTAGTAGTAGTAGGAGTAGGAGTAGGAGTAGTAGTAGGAGTAGGAGTAGTAGTAGTAACACTAACAGTGGTAGTGGTGGTAGTAGTAGCAGCAGCACCACTAGTAGTAGTAGTAGTAGTAGGAGTAGTCGTCGTCGTAGTCGTAGTCGTAGTCGTAGTCGTAGTCCGACTTGTATTCGTAGTAGTAGTGGTAGTAGTAGAAGTAGTAGTAGTAGGAGTAGGAGTCGTAGCAATAGGAGTAGTAGTAGTAGGAGTAGTAGTAGTAGTAGTAGTAGCAGTAGTAGTAGTGGTAGTGGTAGTAGTAGTAGAAGTAGTAACCGTCGTCGTTGTGGTAGTAGTAGTAGTAGTAGTAGTAGTAGTGGTAGTCGTGGTAGTCGTGGTAGTCGTAGTCGTCGTAGTCGTAGTCGTAGTAGTAGTAGTAGTAGTAGTAGGAGGAGTAGTAGTAGGAGTAGTAGTAGTAACAGTAACAATGATAGTGGTGGTAGTAGTAGCAGCAGCACTACCACTAGTAGTAGTAGTAGTAGTAGCAGTTGTAGAAGTAACAGTAGAACAGCATGCAAAGTAGAAAATGGTATCTCAATCGTATGCTAGAAGCAAGCATGAGAAAAAACAGATGTCGCATTTCGAGAAGACCGAAGCGTACGACAAAGCGAAGGTTACGAAAATACGTGCAAATTACAAAGTAGATCCGATGTCACCGGTCAGGCTGAAAGACATGAAGCGAAGTTTTTCCACAATTCTTGTTCGAGGTCAAATGTTGAAAGATATCATCTCGGTCAAAAGCAAAACAAACCAAAAAACACGCCTTGAAGGGTATATCATCCGTTGACACAAAGAAAGTGAATCATACCACTCAGCGAGGGAAGCCTATCAGAAAGCTCACACGTACAAGTCGTTTTGCATCAAGCTCACTTCGTGGCGCGTAGGAAACAATTTGTTGTATGAGATCCGGCCACATCATCTTGTTGGCCAAAGCTGCCTTTCGCCTCCGCCCTTTCTCCTGCACGTGTTGCCTCGTAGACATGTTTCGCGTCTGAACGAACAAAAATGCTGTTTATAAAAGCTTCGCCTTTCAACACAATGCAGTTGTTGTTGACGAAAACTACAAATTGATTTCGTTTAAAAAACTGTCCTGCAAGATATAAGCGTCTTTGGGGGCCCACGATTTTGGTACAACCCATGAGAGTTTTTGAAAAACGCGTCGGCGTCTCTTTCTATGTCGTTCCTTTGCAGACACCGAACGTCGACCAATCCCGCGATTGGACCACTTCCTTCATTATAGAATGGATTTTTTTTGGCGTTTTTTTGAATATATCTATCCGTTTCGCATTAATTCTCAGACGAACTCTTTGTGTAAAACTATGCACAAAGGAGTTCCACGAGCACTCGTGAAAAGAGAAGTTTTTGACGACATGTCGAACAATAACTATATAGGTCTGTCGGGCTATGGCGCAGAACATATATTCCATCACGTTTGTTTTACGAAGCTAGCTAGCATCAAGGAGAATATTGCCGCTCCCAATCGGAACAATTCTGTTGGCCAAACATGTTCCGCTTTCGCCCGTTGCATATTGCATGGGAGGGAGCGCTATTGAAAACGGTATCCATCGCGCCAACTTTGTTGTAGATTCCGAACGTCAACCCAATATCCCGATCGACTCCCTCCCTCACTATAGAATGTCATCCGCCTTGCGTTTTTATCTCTTCGCCCCGCCTAGAGCAAAGAAGCACGCGATACTTCGATTGCGAAATGTCCGGCGAAGTTGCAAACAACTTTTTAGTTTTTCTGTTTGAAATTGCGTATGCAAGCAAATTGAGAAGTATGCGCTTTGTGCTTGCAAATTTTCTCATGATTTGCCCCGTTGCGTGGGATTCTCAAATTCGTTGTCAGGTGACGTGTTGGAGATCGTCTGACAATTCACCTGGGACGTGTACAATCGAAAATGAGCGTGTTTCTTTGATTTAGATTGAGCGCAAACAAATAAAAACACGCAAGGCCGTTGACATTGTCTAAGAGGTCGTCTGAGATAGTGAGCGCCCCTTGCTTTTCTGCATAGTGGACGAATGGAAAGCATCCGCCTTGTGCTTGCAAGTTTTCTCACACATTTTGACTCGTTACATGGGACGATTCCGAAATTCATGTTCAGATGACATGTAAGAAAACGGCCATTGTCAGGGATTTCAAAACGACGAAGCGAATATACGCACTGACTACATGGATGTTCCGATTACAGCGCCAATGTCGAGATGGCAGCGTCCGACAATGTGAATACCATGATACACAGTTGCGTTTTACAACGTTACCTTGTATTTGTTCGGAACGCATTGCAAACTGAATTGCACAAGGCGCAAATTCATAAACTTCACAAGGTCACTCCTCGAGCTATAGGAGTCATGTCTGAACGCCTTGGCTTCCAGGGCAAACGTCCACGGTAAGGGAGGGAGGGCATGTAATTGCACCTATAGACAGCATCCTCTTAGGAATATATAATTATTGTTGCACCTATGTGAAGCATTTTCCTAGGAATATATATTTGAAGATGAACTTGTAACTGCACTTGTGCGAAACATACACCTCGGAATATATCATTGTAAATTCACCTATGTGAAGCATACACCTGGAGTATATAGTGGTAGTTGTACCTGTGTGAAGCATCCACCTAGGAACATATACTTGCAACCTCGCCGTGTGACGCATACACATAGGAAAATGTAAGTTTAATTTCACGTATGTAAACCATCCACTTAGGAAAATATAATTGCAATACGACCTATGCGAAACATTGACACACAAATATCAAAGTGTACGCGTTCTAAAACAATCCACACACAATACCGGACGAATCTCCAAAATTTTGCATTGCACCTATGTGAAGCATACACCTACGAATCTAAAATTGTATTTTCACATATGTGAAGCATACACCTAGGAATCTATACTTGTAGGCGCACCTAGTTGGAGCATCCAC